TCAGAATTACTGAACTTTTACAAGTAAAACCGGAACTATCTAGATTTTGGCAAGTGCTACGCCCACAAGCGAAGTGCAAATCACCGGGGCTTTATGGTAAGTGTGCTCGAGTGTAAAAGCCTCATCTACCTGACCTGGTAAAGGATACAGCAGCGGGACAAACAACCTTGTTAAAATCACAGAATTTCGATCAACTGTGATGAGTAGCACAAGATGTATGGGTGGACAGCTCCTTGAATGTGCATGCAACTAAACCAGCACATCACATTTGGCCGTTATTGTCAATGTAAGGCGGAAAACACCGTCATGGTACTCAAGGAATGGGCGAGAATTCCGCACCCTTCGGTATCCGATGGTGGTAGACAGAGACCTACAACATTAGCTTGGTTGTCCGGTTTCGCAATAGATGTCATGAAGAAGTGTTCCGTGAATGACTGTGAACTTATTGCTCCAATGTGATTGAATTCGTAAATTGATATGTCTTAACGACATCGTAACTTCCGACTGCTAGCAGATTGCACAAGACATATCGCGCAAGTGGGTGTTTGTCTTACAATACCAAATGACCTATTTCCATGGCAGTGCAAGGCTTTCCTGCAGGACTGATTAGATGCCGCTGCTAATCTCACCCTCTCCTGTGGATCTTTGGAAATAGTCGACAAGTTCATTCATCTTGAGTTGCACTACAGTGAACAGATTAAGGGATGAAATCTTGGTGCAGCTCCACTACTAAGGTATCATTTACCAATCACCGATATCGCTGAAACTGAGTTGACATCAACTGCTCACTGAAAATCCATAACTACAATCTATGACCTATTCGTGCGCTTGATGCTCGGTGCAAACTCACAAGACATTTTGTCAGGCTGAAGAAGGTTTAAGCATTGGATTCTTATGTATCTAGAAAAATATGCTAGAATTAAAGTAATAGTGCACCGTTAATAAAGCAACTGAAGCATAGAAAAAACAATACCTGACTTAAATCAAGCCACAGTCATGCTAGTTATAAAAGAGCAAATTAAAATTGCAAGCAAATAAGACAGTACAGATCTATTGGACCCAAGAAGTCAACAGACCGAGATAACTGGGTGTTGCTGAGGTCACCCCTGCATGATGGAAAGTTTGCATCACCTCAGCTGCTGAACGAATAGAGACGTATTTTATGGTTATGTGCACATCAACAGAGAAAGGCGGTGCTTGGAGTTCGGCCTGGGAGGCTGCACGGCAAGGAAGAAACCACAGTCATCTAATACACAAGTAGAACAATTACTGTTGTGAGCCAGAAAGTATTTATGTTGGACCAAGAGTTATTGGGAGGGCGTTTTATGTATTGATGGGAGTAACTTCTGTAACCTTTGGAATCATAGTTGCACACCTGTCCGGCGGTATCCATGGAGGGAATACAAACCACAATGTCCTAGTCTCTCTTTCAAATATCAAACAAAACGCATGGTTAAGGGATGCATGGCCGCAGATAGAGTTGCATATTTCCATCTAGTTGACTGCACGGTCAGAGCTCGAAAAGATGTGGAGATAATTGGCAACTACATTTTACCACCAGCTCAGAAGCGATTTAAGAAGTATGACAATCTCCTAGATGACAACGCACCGTGCCATCTTGCCAAAAGGTCTCAGAATGAATGACAAAGGAGTGAAGACGCTCAAATGGCCAGATCGGCCCCTGCCTCATGTCCAGTTGAAAAGTTCTGGTATATATTATCACCGGAAATACCAAATAAACTGTTATTAATCAAAAGTGAACTAATTAAGTACCTTAAAGATAACTATAACCCTGTCAAATCTGGCAAACAACCTCCAATCTTACGTATTTAATGCTGTGAGATGAAAAGCAGCTAAGAGGAACATAGGCTGTCCAAGCAAGTATTAGCATTTGAAATTAATCCATTAGAAATTTCTCAGCAGTAAGACTTGTTAAGTAATATCACATTTAGAAGGCGGTTTCTGGAGGATACCGAACTGTATGGGATTACAGATTGGGAAATAAAAAATAACAGCAAAATCTTTTTCGTAGCACTATTGAAAAAACTACAGTGGAAGAAACGTTGTACATCCTCTCGCATACCCATAGGGTGTGTGTGGTAACTTACACCAAAAACTAGTATTTTTCAAAGTGATGCGGGACATTTTCGCTGGACCATATATGCAATTAACATTTCAAATTGGAAGTTTTGCAATACACTTTGGGATGTTTGCAAAATAAATTGAACATTTCGCAAATCACTTTAGATATATTTTGCATCTTAAGCGTAAAATCAGCAACTCCCAAGCAATAAATGAGGAGTAAGGTGACTAGACGACGTTCAGACTACATTTTAGTAATGCTACCAAAGTTTCCATTACAAACTCTTCTCCCAATCTTCAACCCGAATCACCTTGATCAAAGGCGGTAACCAAGTATTCCGCCGCATCGGTCTTCGCGTAGTATGTGTACATGTGCCTTTATGCACGAACCTGTGTAGCTTTGTGACTAGTAGAAATGCAGACTCCCAATGGTATGGTCCATTTTGATTTAAAATACAGTTATCTAGCTTTGGAGGGTAGTTCTGAAGCACTCGTTGTGCGAATGGATTGCATGTGTAATATCAAGGTGGACTACGATTCCCCCTGAAGTAAACCTTTGCCAATCCGATCAATTGGACCTCAGCTGATTTAGCGAATAGGCGGTGACCCAGTAGTCCCCTGTCTTGTGGGTGTGTGGGCGAATCTATGAAGCTACTAGACTATTGGAACTGTGTAGGCTATCAAGACACCAAACCCTAGCTAGCTTTACTGACGTACTACTGGGGTTTGCGGCGTGAGACAAGGATGCCCGCTGTCACTTTTCCTCTTCAACTTCGCTGTTGACGAAGTCATGGAAATCGCGTTTACAGGACACGACTTAGAAGGTGTGGAGCTACTCCCAGGAGAACGACTTCTTGACTTAGAGTATGCTGATGATATTGCCCTAATCTGTGACAGCTTATATTTGTGCCAAGCGGCACTGGACAGATTAGCACTAGCTGTCCGTCACTTCGGGCTTTGCTTCGCACCCTCGAAGTGCAAAGCGTTCCTCCAGGATTGGTCTGGACCGCCTCCTACGCTGACCATTGGTGGGGATCAGCTAGAAGTCGTTCAAAAATTCAACTATCGGGGAAGTTGTATCAGCGCCCGTGGGATTGAAGATGAGATTCCGAATCGTATAGCAAAAGGTCGGGGCGCTTTTGCTAACCTTCGCCACTTATGGCGCCGGCGCGACATCACTCACGCCCTGAAGGGTAGAGTGTACAATGCAGCAGTACGTTCGACCCTACTGTACGGTTGTGAAATCCGGCCGCTTAAAGCAACGGACCTGAAGAGGCTAGTTACGTTCGACCACCGGTGCCTTCGCAATTTAGCTCACATCTGGTGGGAACACCGCGTGAGCAACGAGCGTGTCGGACGCCTTGTTTATGGCACAGGAAAAGGAACTGAACCGCTCAGCACCGTTATTTCACGCACCAGGCTCGGATGGCTTGGCCACGTGTTACGCATGCCAGCCCACCGACTCCCGCGACGTGCGTTGTTTGCGCGCCCGGGGGTGTGGATGGAAGAAGAGGAGGAGTGGCCAAGCGATGACTTGGTCCAAATGAATGAAGGCCCTCACTTCTGAGCTGGCCTCGGTTGGAGCGTCTCGGCTCCCTGGTTGGGGTCCGAAAGACGATGAACACGTTTGGTTGGACACACTTGCTGATATGGCTAGGAGCCGACCTCAGTGGCGTTCGTGCTGTGAGTTTCTTTGTCCCACCCCATCCCTCTTAGCCTCCCCCTCCAACCACGATCTCATTATTTTACCTTATATAATTTTTCATAGTAATTTTTTTGATGCACAGTAGCCGGCTGGTAGCTTACTGGAACGATGCCCATCCGTTACCGGTAGCTCAGCCCGCTTGCTCCAGTTGAATTCTTTTTTCTCCTTTTTTCTGTGTATTGCGGCACAGTAGCTGAGGTGTTCCCCACATCTAGCTAACCTGTATGATTATGATGACCGGGGTTTGCTATACAAAAGAGAGGGGAGTAAGAAGAATCGACCATGTTCAGGCGAAATCGTGGTCACGCGAATGCAACAGAACTGTGCAAACCGTGGGCGATTGTCGTTCTGCGCTCATTTTGGTCGTTTCTTACAGTGCAAGGCTAACAAAGCGATGATGGGTTTGCTCAAGTTATGACAGTCTACACTGATTCAATAACCGAGCGGCTGAATAGGTCCACTCACACACACAGATAAAATATACAGTGGCTCATAGGTTGACAGGGCAAACTGTGTCACCGGCTTTGATGGAGGTAACGACGCCTATGGTCAAGAGGGGGGTTGCACCATTGCTCTCTGCTTGCACAGCTCTGTTGCATTCGCATGACAAAAATGTGACCGAAAATTCGTCCGGTCGTCTTACTCCCCTGCTATGGATAACAAACTGCCACATTAGGCGGGTAAAGATTGACTGGTTCTGGTGGATTCATAACAGCCTACAATCTTTCAATAATTGAAGTGAGTAGGTTCGCCCACACACCCACAGGAAATACGCGAATGCCCATAGAGCGAAAGGGATAACTGGGTCAACTCCTTTGCTCGAGGTGAACGACTGCAATGATAAAGACGGGAGCTTGCACACTCGTAACTGCTTGCACAGTCTAGTCGTCGTACTCCTCATTTCTTGCTAGCGAATGGATAATTTTCTGTTTATAACCTCAACTGTCCGAGGTGGCTTACAAAATGTCCAATTGGTTTTCCAAAACATCCAGTGTTTTGCAAAAGGTCCACTTTGATTCGCAAAAAGTCTAACTTGATTTGGAAAACGTCCAATGTGGTTTGCAAAATGTCTAAGTAAATATAATATATATATATATATATATATATATATATCGAAGTGCGGAGCGAGGTAAATGTTTATAGAATACCTATCCCTCACCTGTTTATTCTTCACAGAACCGAAATGCGACCAGCACCGCGGGCCACTGCTTACCTGTGAGATAGCGGTGTTGGATTGATTTGCACCGATTCTCCTTATGCACGTACCGCTCTTCCCAAAGCCGATCTAACCTGCGCGCGTCTATTTCCTGTTGATATTCCTCTCGCTTTCGAAGCAGCCGCACAAGCACCTTCATGCGGACTTCTTGCAGACTGAGACAAATACAAAAGGAGGACACTGAATGCGTTCATAAATAGTTGCCAAGCAAAATGTTATGGCTATTTAATCTGTTGAGCATTTTGCACGTGATTTTAGTTCCACATGAATCAGGTAGCACGCGTAAGGATTCTAAGATAATCCATTCTGCACAACTAGGTAACTAGGTTGCATGGAATGTAGCAGTTGCTTGGTCGGAGTTATAGCCATCACGGCAGAACTCTGAGCTCATGCACACCTTCAGAACCATTAAATGGCTGCGAATCTGTCTTAACAAACCCTCTTGCTGAATACTCAAAAAGCGGTCCCTATACAGCTGAATGTCTTTTCAGCCAAAAGTAACTACTGACAGAGATCTACGCTGATATGGCTGCTATAGCTTGCTTTTAGATAACGGTGTCCGCCAAGGATCCCAAATTATTTGTGATGTTGTTTTCTAGTCAAAACGCAACACACCTACGCCGACATATTTGAACATTGCCAGCAAAACGTTTCGATGACCGAATCAACAAAAGTCCAAAGCAATTTCTATACGAACGTGGGGTATTTCCCTAGAGCAATAGGTGGTCGTTGTTCGGAGTTAAACACGATGAACCCAAAAATAGGAAAGTTAGCTTCATGCCCTGTTAGTTAATGAATGAAGCTGAACGGTATTTCAGAAACGTTCCGGGATGGAAAGTGAACGTTCGATTGGCCTTTGCCAGTAGTGGCGGCTTACAAGGTTGTGATTTTATACGTTCTTCTTGTGTGTAATGCTATAACCCACCGAGTGCCACTTAAGTCTGGTGGTCCCAGGAACTTATTATGAAGTGATGAGTATTGTTGTAGTGTTGGTAGTCCTTGAATGCAGAAAGGATACTGAACGGTTTGATACTGCTCTACAACAAGAGGAGGATGGTTAACATGATTTCTGCCGCCATGCAGTGGGCGACTAATTCTTTTTGAAACAAATCTTAGATATTCCTCAAGAAAGCATGCGACCGCTTGATTGTGAATCCGTTTTCTAGACGATGTTGCCTTAATGAACCAAGAACTCCGGTTCTAACTATTATGTTCCCCGGATCTGCGTGACAAATACGAGTTGCTGGAACTTTGCTTCTTTAACTGCATCCATATGTTCGGTTACAGTGCAATAAGACAAACTAGTAGGTAGGCGTACCATGACATGATTCATTTAGAACTATTGTGTTCATTAAGTTAGATCTAATATCCACAGCCTAACTTGCAGTTGATGTGTGATGAAGAAGCATTCCAAACGGTTATTCATCGGGTAAACGACATGCGGGTTCTTGTTTGACTCGGAGTACTACTTGAGTTCGTGCACATGTAAAGTGTCCAAAATGAGGCATGTAGTGTTAATTGATACTCAAGTTTCTTCAAAGCAAACATTGTGAGCGCGTTTCTATTCGTATCCACAAGATTTAGCACACAAAAATCAACCCGTAGCCTGGGGATTCAGAGATTTGAGCAGTAAAACGCCCTAAATAATGAGCTGAGATGGGCGTAACACAACTTTATACTCGTCGAGAAACGAGTAACTTATTGCAAAATTGAGCGAAGTCTCACTGTTATGCCGAACAACCCCTACATGATGCCAGATGGGTGATTCCGCATTATCCGCTCTCAGCGAATGTTTCAGGAGGCAGTGCTCCAAGAAGTGGTGGATTTTTGCTAGAGGAGCGTTATCTCCATACAGGGCCATATGTCTGTTTAACAACCCTGTGACACGAGAGATTTGACTCTAAATTAAAGAGAGCCACTGTCCCTTGCGTCCGTCTGAGCGGTCTTTCAATTCCACGGTTTGTTGGGTCCTTTAGTCATTGCAGAACTAAAGGCGTGTGAACCACGGCTTCCAACTGGTTGGGGAACTCTTAAGTTGCCCTACTGTCTTGTAGGTTAGATCCTTTATCATAGGTTCGGAGTGGGGCCGCCGGAGACATCCCTCCATTTCGGACTGAGCAACCAAATAGCATTACGCACGCTGAGGAATCACGGATGTATTACACTGTTGTTTTCGCTCTTGTTATGCATCGTGACTCGTCTAACTCCATTTCCCAACCTCCACCCACAGAGTGTCCCAAATCTCGTTCTTCAACACGACTTGTGTCCTCCCGGTTATCGCCAACAGCTCATTAGTTGCACTTGGTGTCCTATGCCGGATGAACACAGCCTTCTCACAGTACGTCAACGCCGCAGTTTTCCTTCGACCTGGTTCTAAATTCAGAAACTTTGCGTTCAACGTTCGCACTCTGATGCAGATCGGATGACAAACAAGTCTGACGCTCACACTTGAGTCGTTAACTGCAGACTTTTGTTCTCCTTCGGAAACCAGAATGCAAGACGGAAGTACCGTCATCCGAATGACCTCACCGGCAAACCGTGAAGTCAAATACCACTTGTGCATTTTCCAGTGATCCAGAGGCTGTCGCTTCTGGTCAGCGGGGCATTGGGTTGCACCAAGACACAGAGCTGAGGTCGATCGGCTTGAAAGAAAAATAGTCTACAATCAGTTATGTCTTATCTGACTATGATGTTAGCGCAAATTAAGTGAGCGTCGAGATGTTAGGCGTGTCTTGTTTGTCGTCTCCACCTACACCTAAACAGAACACCAAAAATTCAAAAATAATGAGCGGGAAACAAGATAAATTACTTGCCTTTAATTCTGCTCCTTGTTCCGATTCCGTCTTCCATTCCGACATTATAGTATCAGAGTTATATATATATATATATATACATATATATACATATATATACATATATATATATATATATATATATATGGTAGGCGGCATCCGGTTTCGGATTTGCCTGTCACTGTGGCCAGCCACAGGACGCCTGCGCCTACAGAGGGACCATGGATGGCTTGCGCTGCACCACCCACAGCTCCATCCACACACCCCATATCCAGTGTAAACCCGAAGGAATAAGACCGGGAGGCATGCGGATGGGAGCCACGTTTCATCAACGGAGCCGGCCCACACTCCTTCACAGGCAAACACAAGCACGCTGTATTTGGGGAATCAAGCGCACACAAGGCGGTGGCTGGACCGTAGTCCGCTCCACACTGAGTGCATGGAACCACTCTTCGAGCCTAGCACGGCCACAAGGACCGTGCACCCTGTCCCCTCCAGCAACGACCAACTGTCTTCTGGAGCCAGATGGACGAGGTAGTGGGTAATAGACAGGTAGGCACCTTGTCAACATGCACATCAAGCGCAGCCACACCTGGGATGTCAAACAACAGCCAATCATTCGAAATGCCGATATCGAATAAAGTAAACGCATATGACGACATAAATACTCGCTAAATGAGCATATGGAAGAAATTGGTTAAATGTGAATACGCGATAAGTACAAAATGTCCGAAAGTCATTTAAAAAATACCACGCGATAAAATTACGCAAGTTTACCACAATTTGCATGAGCGACGTGTGTAAGTTGGGAGAAGATTATCAAGTAGGCAGAACAAAAATAAAATAAAATGTAATGAATTTTATCTACATTAAAAAGACCTAGTTTAAGTGTAAGTTGGTTTAGCCCAACTGCGGTGAAGAAGCATCATGAATGCGACATCAGCCTCAGCATGGGGCATATATATATATATATATATATATATATATATATATATATATATATATATATATATATATATATATATATATATATATATATCCAATAATATTATGGACAATATCGCATCCGAACCATGGTAAAATAGTGGGAAACGATACAATAGCAGGAAAAAACGAGTTTTGGATTTTTATACACGCCATTTGGAGCTTTTATTGTATTTTGGGGTGTTTATCTTCTATCCGGCATTAAGTAATAGATGAGGCGGTTGTACAACACAGTCGCCAATGATGTCTGTCATAACATCCAATGTTTACACTGAGAGTCAGAATCGCGTGGTCCCCAGTCTGGAAGGAGGATCGGTCCTACGGATGCTAAGCTTGAGGTTGCCTTTTTCATGCTCCTTGTCTAAGTCATTGGTTGTCCACTGCGGCACACTTTTTAATCGATTTCACGAAGCGCAAACAACGCTCGACGAGGAAGGCAATAGGCTGGCATACGCAATACATGGCCGACCCAACGCATACGGTGTCGGAGACTAAGGTATTGAAAGAAGGGGCTGTCTACCCGCAGCACTTGGTTTCGGATTTTCTGTTTCGCTTACGTGATGTTGCCACTACGTGCAAACAATCTTACGCAGACACGATTGTCAAAAACGGAAAGTTGTTTCATTTCTTCTGAGCGAATAGGTCAGATCTCAGCCACAGAAGAGAATCACCCGACCATAGGTAATGTACAATTTACCTTTCAGCTTGAGACTGATATTGCGACGACGTCATAAGTGTTTAAGTCTGATGAATACAAGGCATCCCTTTGTGATCCGTTGTGAGACCTCATCTACAACATCGCCCCCAGCCGTGATGCAACTCCCTAGATAAGTGAAGCAGTAGAGTTACTCCAGGACGTTACCAGCAATGGTGAGGGCAGGCAAGGTTAACTGTCAATCCCGGAGTAGTGCTTTACATTTGCCTGGGGTGAAATACAGACCATACCTAGATGCCTCCATCGCCAATCGATTCAAAGCGCTCTGGATGGCTTGTGAATCGCTCCAAACAAAGCGATATAATCAGCGTAGTCTAAGTCCGCAACTCTGTCACCCGGAAGAAGCTCAATACCGCAGTTTTGGTAGCTTTCCAATGCCCTTTGGAGAACATCTTGGATTGTCAAATTGAAGAGAAAAGGTGAAATAGGGCAACCATGGCGAGCGCTGCTGGTGACAGCAAAGCATGGGGAAGTATGCCCTAAGCCCTGAATTTCCCAACGTGTGACTGTAGAGTTAAGGAGGCGGTGCGGTAAGAACGAGCTATATATTAAAGAACGAACGCATACATGGCATAGCATTTCGAACATGGTACAGTCGAACTCAGTTGCGCAGTTCAATTGTGGTGCTATTCGATTCTAAGCTCCGATATATGCTATCTACTTA